TTCTGCAATGGATGCTCTTTGGTGTGTGTTGAAATGTGATATGTGATCTTCACTCTTTTTGCCACTCTCAGATCCACAGGCCTCTTTCCTAGTCCTTTTTGTCTCTGATAGTCCAGTCTTGTTTTTCCCAGGCCCCTGACCAATAAAGAGCTAAGCCATTCACCGCTGCCCATGAGTACGTGCATATCCTTATTTCAGGTCACTTCTCTTGACACGAGATGACCAGGTGCTTTGGCAAAATCTCTGCCTATTGGAGGGATTTTTTCTCACTACCGTCTTTCAGGGCCACCCTTGGGTGGGGCTGTAGTGCAGGCTCAGTCCATTTTTGGCTTACACCCCCAGGCCAAGTCAACCCATCTGTGACCCAAACTCAAGAATTTCCCTTCTCTGTCAGCTGGTCATAATACACATTTTTTTGTGAGAGGTATTGGTGTGACAGTCCTCATCCCAAGTCTTGGTGTCTCCTTCCCTACCAGGGGTCTGATTTGGGTATAGGAGACCCCCCTTGATGGAGAATTCAGCCTTTACTCAAGTTCCGCTGCTTTACAATGAGTCCTCTGCCTGATTATCACTCCATCTGCTCTCTGGCTGCAGAAGGTAAGTGCTTTCCAATGCTTCCTGCCAAGAGGTTTCCTCTGACTCTCACACTCTAAATTGCCAATTAAGATATCTGTAACTGTAATTTCCTTTCTTCAATGCATCGGTGACATTTAGCAATAGCCACATTTAGCAAGTCCATAGTCTTAATAGTTATTCTTTGCCCGTATCTCTCAGATGCCAGAGACATCGCTGCAGCTGTGTAGCTCCTTGACCTGTGTCCCATCCCAGTTCACTGCAGGTGCACACTGTTACCCAATTCCTGCCACTAGTGGTGGGTCCTAATTGTCATCTGGTCAGTGGTACCTCTCCAGCATCCTATCCTCACAGCCTGCCTCCCAGACCCCTTCCCAGCACCCACTGTCTTCGATCTGGATAGGAGCAGAGCCTAGGACAGGCATGCAGATTCCATGATTTATTTATTGAGGGAGTGATCATGGGAGAAACCTATGAGGGAGGCAGGCAGAACAAGGAAGAGGAGAGAGTGGAGTTAGCATGTGGCCTCAGGTAAAGTCTAGCCCTGACCTGACCCACAGGGAGGAATCAAGAGCACCGACCATGCCCCAGCAAAGAGGCCTTTTATTCCTGTGGCAGTCAATTTTGGCTGTGGGCTGCCTGGCAGGGGTGCGTGTGTGGGGATAGGGGGCAGGTAACCTGTCAGGCATGGAGGTTTCTGTGTGCTGAGGGAAATTCTCTGATAAAGAGGCATGTTGAGGTTTCTGTGTGCTGAGGGAAATTCTCTGATAAAGAGGCATGTTGTGGGCTGTTGGCAGCCAACACCCATAGCAGCATCGGGATGGGTGGGCCAGTTGGTGAAGAAGATCCTGATGAAGCACCACAAGTACCTAGTTACCACAGGAACCTGTGGAGAAGACTAGGAAGGCACAACCAGAGGGATGCCAGGAGAACTAAACAGATGAGAGAGGGAGTTGTCATGCATTCAAGTGTCTTTGTCTCTTTTCTGTTGCTCTAACAGAATACTCGAGACTGAGTAATTTTTATTTTTATTTTTATTTTATTTTTTTATTTATTTATTTTTTTTTGAGACGGAGTCTCGCTGTGTCTCCCAGGCTGGAGTGCAGTGGCGTGATCTCGGCTCACTGCAAGCTCCGCCTCCCGGGTTCACGCCATTCTCCCGCCTCAGCCTCCCAAGTAGCTGAGACTACAGGCGCCCGCCACCACGCCCGGCTAGTTTTTTGTATTTTTTTTTAGTAGAGACGGGGTTTCACCATGTTAGCCAGGATAGTCTCGATCTCCTGACCTCGTGATCCACCCACCTCGGCCTCCCAAAGTGCTGGGATTACAGGCTTGAGCCACCGCGCCCGGCCGAGACTGAGTAATTTTTAAAGAAAAGTGGTTTATTTAGCTCATGCTTCTGGAGGCTGGGAAGTTCAAGATTGGGTGACTGCATCTGGTGAGGGCCCCATGATGCAGTGTAGCATGGCATAAGGCATCACGTGGTGAGGAGGGCAAGTGTGTGCCAAGTTGGCTTTTATAACAGACCTACTCCCATGATAACCCATGAATTCACCAACTCATTAATCCATCAATCCATTCATGAAGGCAGAGCCCTTGGGTCCAAGGGCCTGCCTCTTAGTACTGTTACACTGGGGATTAGGTTTCACCATGAGTTGTGGAGGGGACAAGAATTCAAACCACAGCACCAAGAGAAGAGAGCTTCAAGGAAGAAATGGCAACTGTCAAGTGCAGCTGTGAGGTCCAGTCTCAGAGAGCAGTGTGGATCAGCAACCAAGAGGTCATTGGTGAGCTTGCAGGAGAAGTGTCAGAGAACTGGTGGGGCACGAACCAAGCATATGAGGGGTGACAGAGAAAGAGTGAGCACTGGCAGCTTTGTGGCCAAGAAGCCTGCGTGGGAAGGAGCAGAGACTGGCCATTGAGGGGTGGAGCCCAGCCCAAGCTGAACCTCGCGATGCCAGAGCCTGGGCCACTAAACCCAGGGAGGCAGGAGGCAGAGGTATGGGGAGGGTTAGCAGGCAGATAGTGAGGCTTCTCGTAGAAGAGAAGGGGTGATGGTGTCAGGGGCTGGGGGAGGGGTGGCCCCAACTGGGGAAGGGACACCACATCCTCTGGGCTTGGGTGGAAAAAGATATGGCCAGGGTGGATGGAGATAGGCCTGTGGGTAGCAGCGGGGACAGTGGGGAGCTGGGTGAGGGTAGGGTAGCCTGCTGAGAGCAAGGTGGGCGTGGTTAGCAGGAGGATTGAGCAGAGGACAAAGGAAATGAGGGGCCATTAAACACTGAGTGCCCTTAGTACTCAGTGAGGCTGGATACCCCAATGTGTCCTGGCATCAACCTGCAGGGCTGAATGACTTTCCCCAATAGTACCCCATGGCCTTACATGAAGACAGTCAGTGGATTCGGGGTGGAGACTTCACGGTGGGCTAGGGGAAGAAGAGGTGTAAGATGATCCACGGTGTGTGACCCCACATGCTGGGAGGCTGAGCTCTGAACTGTTCCAAGCCAGGCCCCCCGTTAGGCTTTTTGGGTGGATGTTTCTCATCTCAGGGTTAGGCTCACAGAAGGAAGTCACCCTTCTGGGGAGGAGTTAGCTGAGGTGGGGGCGGCCAGTCTCCATGCAGCCTTGTGGGGCAGCCACAGGCCTGTATCCCAGGTTCAGAGTCTCCAGCTGAAATGCCAGGAAGGTTTGCTTATTATCATCAAGTTAGGGGAGCACACTGCCCTTCCTCCCTCTCCCTGCTCCCCTGCCCACTTCCTGCCTTTAAGTCAATGGCATTCAAACTGTTTGTTTTTAACCACAACCCACAAATAAGAATTAACATCATGACTCGGCAGACACACACACACACACACACGTTTCTTGATACAGTGCTGCCCTTTACTTTATAGGGCACACTCCTGATATTTTCTTTTTTTTTTTTTTTTTGAGACAGAGTCTTGCTCTGTCGCCCAGGCTGGGGTGCAGTGGCCGGATCTCAGCTCACTGCAAGCTCCGCCTCCCGGGTTTAGACCATTCTCCTGCCTCAGCCTCCCGAGTAGCTGGGACTACAGGCGCCCGCCACCTCGCCCGGCTAGTTTTTTGTATTTTTTAGTAGAGACGGGGTTTCACCGTGTTAGCCAGGATGGTCTCGATCTCCTGACCTCGTGATCCGCCCGTCTCGGCCTCCCAAAGTGCTGGGATTACAGGTTTGAGCCACCGTGCCCGGCCAATATTTTCTACTGTATTCTTTTTGTTTTATGAAAGTGCTGGCCCAGCCCCACCATGCTGCTCTAAGACACAGGGAGCTGGGCATGTCTCCTTTGGGAAGCTCTCCCTCAAGCTAACCACCCTCCTCTCGGAGGGGTGTCTGTTCAGAGAAAGAGTCAGCCTGTCCTGGCGACGCTGGCAGAAGGCAGTGCCTGCAGCTGAGCAGTGGCCAGTGGGTGTTCCATTATTTAATGTAAATCTTTTCTCCTCCTTACCTTCCACCTCCCTCCAAAAGGAGCAACTCCAGCCACCTCAGAGAGGCCCCAGGAGCCGGGGGCTTCCGGGAACCCAGCCCCCTACAGGCAGCACCCTGCAGCCTCCCCCACACTGCTGGCTCCTGCACACACACTCCCCTCACTCTCCTGACACCCGGATACATCTGAGTGGAGATCTCTGGGGTGCCGGCCCGGCCCTTCTTCCCTCTGTGGACAGTCCCTGTGGAGGAAAGGCCATAGCAGCCACGCTTGCTTTCCCCCTCAGGTCAGGCTGCATGCAGGGAGGGCAGGGACTGGTCGCGGGGCTGTGTCAGATGCCCATTCCCAAAACTTCAATCAGAGACACATGAAGTGCTGTCAGTTTGTGTTGGTGCCGAGGCTGGAAGGATGGTTAAAGCCATGGCCTGGGCAGGGGCCATCGTGAGACAGTAGCCCAGGTAAAGCATGCTCACAGAGGACGGAAAACCTAAGCTTCCCTAGGAGGAGAGGGTCAGGTGTACTGAGAGGCGGAGGCCAGGGATGCCGAGATGCCAGCAGGGAGCATGGCTGCAGTGAACACTCACTCTCCATTGAAACCACACGCCTGAGTGCTCTGAACAGCACCCTCTTTGGCTTAATATGAATATACTTAAAACCAGCATAATCCGCAAGGGAGCATCAGAGATGGGACACTGTTGGACACTCTGAGTCACATGTCACAGGAGCCCTTAGCACCCTGCAGCCACCTGGCCCAGTTCAGCCACCCCAACTTCCCCAACCATCCAGCCACACACTGCACCTGCCCCACCAGGGGCTGGTTCCAGGGACCCCCATGGACAGGGGTTCTTCCAACTCAACATCCAAACCACCTGCTGTTCTTTTTTGTGTGTGCAGAGGGTAAGAAGGCTGGGAGTGTGGTTTAAAACAAAAGCGAAAACACCCAAACCACTCCTTAACATCCACAAAATAGCTAATTCGCAAACCTTCATTTTTGTCAATTTATTTAGAAAAAAATTAACATGGGCAAATGAGATACCTCAGTGTTACAACAGAGTATAGAAATGTCTAGCAATAGTCAAATAATTTGATCTTTAAATACAAAATAACCACATGAACACCTAATATACAGGTTTCATCTGAATACATATTTATTAGATAAATATTAGAGGTTGTCACATCATCTAACTACATACAGCTTTGCAAGACTAGAAATCACAATTAGTTTTTTGACCAGTTTAAAGTATGAAATGATTGCATTGTACATACGATGTACAAAGACGATGATGGTTTCTGTGGGAGTTACTTCAGGCTGCACTGGTGGGTGTGTTTATGTGTGTACGTGTGAATCACCTGTGATCATGATATCAAAAATTATACAAAGTATGAATTTGGTTACAATTTTCTTCTGAAATCCCCGTTTCTTTTCATTATTTCCATAGCACCCTAAAAATACACAGGTGGCAGGACTAGTACACTGAAGCTAAATAGTACATGTAGGTAAAATAAAAACAGAACAAAAATCCCTTTCCACGCAGGGTCAGAGTATATTACATGAGCGAGAGAGACAGACGTGGAGAACTCACAAATGCTATAACCAACAGGATCTAGTTTTTCCACGTGATGGAGTTCCAAGCTTTTTTTGTTGTTGTTTTGTTTCGCAAAATAAAAACAATACACATTCCAAGAGAAATGAATTGCATCTGTTGACACGTCTCTATTTCTCATTTACATATGTACACACGTCCCTTGAGTCGCTGCCGCTGACACGGCCCTGTGTGGACGGGTCAGGCCCGAGGCCCGTCGGGAGCAGACCTGTAGCTCTCTGGGGGGTCAGGGCTTCCATTAGGGAGAAAGTATTAGCAGTTTCTTAAAAAATAAAATGGCTACAGGGAACATGATACATGGATAAAGCTTCAAACCAAGAAGATGGGGGTGATTGCCTGTACTTGGCCCTTCCCGCCTGCCTGCTGGCTCCCTGTCCATCTTGAGGAGTGGGTGGCAGAAACATGCCTGTGGGCCGGCCAGGTGGATGCTTGGCATGGAAAAGTGGCTTGCAGAGGCCTCGTTTTTGCTGAGGTTACTTATGGCTCCAAGTAGTCGTCCGAAAGGATCAGGGAAGGATCTCTCCAGAGCTCAGGACCATCTCTGCTTATGGGCGTTGTCTACCTGCACCTGTCACAACCTGGGGCTTGCTCCTGCCCCGGGTGCCTCTGCACCCCCCTCACACCCTGGCCTGGCTCCAAGAGCACTCCGGAAAAGCTTGTCTCCAGACTGCAGGCTGTAGACACCACACACGGTTCAGAGCCGGCCGAAAGGGAAGCTCTGGGCCGAGCTTGCTGGTGGAGGCTTGCTGGAGAGGGGACCCAGGAAACCTGCCTCAGGTGCTGAGCCCAGAGATGTTTGCAGGAAGTGCCCGGGGCCTGGGCTGCAGGGAGCATCTCGACTCTCTGCACTGGAAAGCTGTGGATCCGCCTGTGAGCAGAGTGTGGACACACCCTGATTAAGAACCAGAATGAACCCCAGGCCTTTCTGGGGCAAAGTATCAAGGCAGGAAGCAAGAACTCCTAAGGAAGGCATCTGTAAGTCTGTCTGGAGCTTCATTCCCAGATGGTCTGACACAGGGCGTGGCCACTTGCCAGGCCACAGACACTGGGCAGGGTGGCCACATGCTACCTGGCGTTGGCTTGTCCCTGCCAGCTGACTGACGGATGGCTCTAAATGGCGGGCTGCCCGGTCTTCCAACTCCCAGCACAGCCGCCCATTCTGTTCGCCCCTTCAACTGTACAAATAGCCCTGGTTGCTTTTATTGTTTTTGTTTTAAAAAAAAGAAGACTCGGTCTTTGTCATTGAGTCCAGGTATTTTAAAAACACCAGCAAAGGCTATAACCAGGTCATGAAAATGTTGAATATTATCAAAGACGATACTAAAATATTCACAAAGATATTTACAAAAGCGATTCTTAAAATAATTGATTTGCATACTGAACAACACACTATTTGAAAAAACCTCGACGACAACTGGACAAAGGAAAAAAAGGGGCTGGGGCAATGGCAGCTTTCCTACAGAAAACCTTGTGCCGTCTGGGACAGTGACTGGAAGTCAACAGCTGGGGCCACCTTTCCGGTAAAACCCACAGAGGAGTGCTGGGGACCACCCACAGTGGACGGGAGAGCAGAAAGGGCCCCAGGCAGCGGCCGGGAAGGGTGCAAAGAATTTACAGATGGGACCCCTGAAACAAAGTGAACACAGGACAAGCTCCCCAGGAGGCCCTGGAGAGTGGTAAGCCAGATGGAGCAAAGCGGTGGAGGGAAGGCCAGAGGCTGCTTTTGCTTGAGTGAGCAGGAGTGTGGGGTGAGATTGTGATGGTGGAGGAGTGCAGGCAGGGGAGGCTGGCAGCCAAGGGCAGTGTCTGGGGCAGGCCCAGAAACACGCCCCCCTTCTCCCCCCATGCGTGCAGGTACATACTAGTGCACATGGCCATGGCCTGGGCTGCAGCCAGGGGTAGCTTGGAGCATAAGGACAGAGGGAGGGGCTGGACAGACACCATTGCCCTGGGCTCCGGTTTCTGCACCTCCCCAGCCTTTCCACACACTGCCCTTGCCATCTGATTGGACAAAGAGAACTAGGACACAGGGGGAAGTGGGCGTCCCACGGAAGTCTTGGAGAGGTGGCAGGAGAGGGACTAGGAGAAAAACAGAACACACAGACAGAAATGGTTTGCTTGCTGTCCAAGCGCAACGTTCCTTTTCTCCAGGTGACTTCATAGCTTTAAATCGTTGCTGTTTAAAAAGAGAGTGGCTTGGAGCAAAGTTAGAAGTTGCCGCTCCTGTTTGATTCTGACAGGTTATATGCCCCCGCCCCCCAACCAAGGGCACAATCACTTTGGTTGGGCGCACACCTGCTCTCTCTGTCCCCCAAGGCTGGGTCCTGTCTGAGCTTGGAGGTGGAGCCTCAGAGATGTCCTGGCCCTCTTTCCCACCAGTCCCCAAGCAGGAATGGCAGACTCCCTCTCAAACACAGAATCTTGTCCTTTTTCTCTGCTTTCTGAGAGAGTGTGTTTATGGGGTATCTTGGCTTAAAGGTCAGGGGTCAAACCGATGACCAGTGGCCCCCGAGAGACGTAGTCTTTCCCAGAGGTTTGTGCTTTTCTGTGGTGGGTGGTGGTGGGCGGGCTAGTCTCACTGCCACCAACTGCCAGCGCTCCTCCAAGGCTCGGGGCCCGTGCTGGGGCCCGGGGGCCTTCTCAGGCTCCACAGTCACTTAAGGGAGGCTCTGTACCAGGAAGCAGGGAGGCAGGGTTACAGTCTAAAAGATGGAAGAACCTTGGGGACACTGGAAGGTCATCTGGAATCGGCACACACGGAGGAACCGGGAAGCCACATCGGCGTGCGCCCTCTTATCGGGCTGGTTCCTCTCGGGAGGGTGGTCTTCAGGCCTGCGCTGGACATGGGCCCAAGCCCGGGGCGTGCAGGTGGGACGGGGACTCCAGACCCACACAGCCTTCCCGGCGCACCCTCCCTACCCCTCTGTTCTGAGAGGGCTGCAGCAGGGGAGGGTTTCCCGCCCCACAGCCTGTGGCTCTGGTGCGGGGCGGTCTGAGGGCACAGGCTCCCAGGTGGAAAAGTGTGTAGGGCAGGTGGGGTGGGAGGCAGAGTGTGGAGGAATGGCCCCAACTGGGTGGCCTTCAGTTGTTCTCAAACAGAGACAGGAGGTCATCGTTACTATTGCTCGGCAGGTCGGGGGGGTCCAGGTAAGACAGGAGCTCGTCAGGATTTGTGAGTTCGGGAAGGAGCTGGAAAAGAAGGAGTGACGAAGTTCAGATGAGGTGTGCCCGAGAGGCAGGCCCCGGGTGAGGAATGCAGGGGCGCCCTGGCCCGTCCCCCTCCACTTGCCTCTCAGGACCCTAGCCAAAAAAAAGGGGAGAGAACAGCCTTGGGCCTGGGCCCGCCAGGCATTCCCCCACACACACCAGCCACTGCACCGAGTGTGGGGCACTCCCGTGCTCATTTCAAGCCTGGGGAGCGGGACCCGCAGCCCACCAGCTGAGGCCTGAGCAGGGCTGACCCTTTTCAAGCATGGACTTCAGCCCTAAGCTGGGAAGGCCCCATGGTGGGTCACTTGGGCCTCCCAGCTGAAATCACATGCTTCATGTGTAAGCACAAGGATGTGGGCTGGTGGGAAGGCGGGAAGGTGAGTGGTTCCCGCAACCCCCTACCCACCATCCCTCTCTCAAGGGCTCGCTGCTCCTTGGTGAGCCTGTGGCTGGCTGGCAGCCATCCTTCCCTGTGGCCCCAGAGGGGTTGCAGACTGTCCCTACCCTCTACTGAGATATCCTTGGAGTCTGTCACATGGGAAGCCTCATGCATCTAAAGGCAGCCCCACTGGCCTGGCTGAGGGGGACACTGGGCGAGGACCTGAGATGGCTGCGCAGTGAGTGAGTCCTAGCTAGCACAGAGCCCTCTGATGCTGCTGGAGCAGAGGCTGACAGAGCAGGGCTGGGGGTGAAGAACAGGAGTGACTGACGACAGGCCTCCTCCCGGAGTCTGGCACCAGCTCTGTGGAGGGGCCGGTGCTTGGTCCCATCCCGTCAGTCACATCCAGCAGCCCAGCCCCATCATCCAGGGTGACCCCCACCATCTTCCAGACTTCAGGGTAGGATCCCTGGCCCTCTGCTGCCCATGCTGGCCTGCCACCCCTGGCTGTGACCCAAGGTTGCCCCCTCTGCCCCCACCTTCTGTCACCCACATGGGGGTCTCTCGGAGTGAGCGATGGAGCAAGCGGAAGCAGGGCATGGACAACACGCGGACAAGAAAACTGGAGACAGACACACACCAGTGAGGCAGACAGACGGCCTCTCCCTCCAGCCCTCCCTGCCCAGGCCAGAGAGGCAGACACAGAAACCGCAAGCTCACCACTGGGGGAGGGCAGGGACCCTCCTGTGCTGCGCGAGGTACCCCGCAGGGCTTGGGTCAGAAGGTGGGTCAGGGCTGGGGTTCAGGGCTATGGCCAAAGGGACTGGGGGGACAGGAGCCAGCAGGGTGGGGACCCTCAGTGGTAACACTTCCCCGTCATGGGGCTTCCTGGTCTGGAGCCAGGTCTGGCTGAAGCCCTCCCGCCGCCCACCCACCTCCTCCCCTTGGGGCCTTGAGCCCTCACACCCACCCCTTCTCTCGGGCAGGTCCCGGCGCCAGGCCTAGCCCCAGGCCAAGGCGAGTGGCGACCCCAACTTACATCCAGCGAAGGCTCCGGCATGTCGGATGCTCCCTGCGCTCCGGCCTGACCCTCTAAGGCTGAGGAGGGGTTAAAGGTCAGGTCGCTGTGTGGATGGCTGCTGGGAGCGGCCTGTGGCGGCTGCCGGGGAGGCTGGGAAGGAGGAGGAGGAGGAGCCCCACTGTGATGTAATGGAGGCCCTGACTGGCTGCTGGGGTGTGGTACGTGCAAACCTTGTTGTATGGAGGGGTGGGGCTGGTCAGAGCTGCCAGCGTGTGGCATCTGTGGAGGAGGAGAGAGCGGGAGAGAAGAGAGGTGAGGTGAGGAGGCACGGCGACGATGCCTGGAGAAAATGAAACCCAACACAACCAGGGAAGTCACAACCCCCGAAACGTGGCCACCCAGTACGAGGCTGAACGTTGTTTCTGGGCAGAGAAACAGAAAAATTTCTCCCCCAAAACCGCCCATCGGGGAGGCTGCAGGGGGACGGCGGGGACCTCCCAGGCCACGTGGGGCCCCAGGAGGTGGGGAGGGCTTCGACACAAGCACAGACACAGGGAGCTGGGCCTGGGCTCCCCCAGGCCCCTCCGCCTCCCCGCCCAGACAACGAACAACAGCGAGGGCAGGATGGAGAAGCAGAATGGGCATGTTCCAGGGAGCAGGAGGCGGGAGGGCGGCTGCCGCAGCATGGTGCAGACCCCAAGCTGGGCAGCAGAGAGCAGACACAGACAGACAGCATCGGGCGGGCGTGCGGCTCAGGACTGGGTCTGCACCTCCCAAGTGGGCCCTGGGCAGGGGTGATGCTGGGCACGAAGGCACCTTCTGCCAGCCCGAAGTGTGCAGCAGCTGGGGTCTTGGCATAAGCCCTGCAGCCTGGGTGGAATCTGGCTGTCAGAGGAGCAGGGCTGGGTGGGCACCTGGCCAGCCAGGGGCATCTTCACACCCTGCCAGACCCTTTTCCTAGACATCCTACTTGGTCGGCACCAGCCCTCAAAAACACAGGGTTGTGAGGGAGGCAGGCACCTCTGGCACTCCAAGGACAACGGGACTGAGCGACGGTTCACCAATGGTGGGTGTCTTGCTGAGGGTGAGGCTAGCGGTGCCTCTCTAACAGATGAACTAGAGGACTCACACCCTCCCGTGGGCATGTGCACTGAAAACTGGGCTGTCTGTGGGTGGGTGGGTGAGATGTGAACATTCCCCTGCTAGTCTGCTGCTGTCCCAAGCAGACCCTCCTTCAAAGTGAAAGGCTGGAGAATCCTGCAGACCAAGCCCTGATCCCACTGCAAGCATCCCTGACAGCCCCCAGCCCCATTTTCACTCTGCCAGTGAAGGTGGCTCACGGATGCTCCAGGTGCTCCACTGGAACAGCAGCCTGGCACATGCTTCCTTGGTCTTTTCGTCCCCTCACCCTGCCCCATCCTGGGGCATGTTCTCCCCGTGTGCATTTAGAATTCGCAGCCACACCATCCTCAGTCTTCGCCCAATTCCAACTTCCTCTTCCTATTTCTCCTAAAACTGCTTCCCAGGCCTTGCTACGGGCCAGTCTCTGCCCACGGTTCAGGTGGCCCCTTCTCAGGGTACAGGGCCTCAACCCAATGTGGCCTTAGGGAGCACAGTGCCCTTTCAGTCCAAGCCCCAAGAATGCGATGACCTCGCAACTGTGATGCTGGAGACCTTGGGAGACCCGTTTATAAGACACATACAAGAGGCTGGAGGAATGGGCCACCACCCATGGTCAGTGAGAGGCCAGCTTGGGGCTCCCACTCCTGTAGACGCCCTCAGTGCCCACCCTGGGAGAGCAGGGAGGGCTCCACACTCCAGCTGTGCAGCCCAGCTCAACAGAGACAGTCCCTGGATCTTCAGAGGCAGCTGTGCCCCTCAGCTCCGTATCTGGCTGGAACGTCTCTGGCCTGGAGGGGCAGGTGCTGTTGGAGCACTGCTGACACACCTGTCAACCTGCCATCAAGTATGGGCAGTCTGTGAGGGCAGCAGTATCTGGTTGGAGCACTCTGGCCAGTCCCTGCGGGCATGGCAGTGCCTCCCAGCCTTGGGCTCAGCTGGGGGTGTGGCTGCCTCCACCTGGGCAGGCGTGGTAGGAGTTTACCTGTGACTGCCCTGCCCCAGCGGCCTGGCGCATCTGCACCTCCAGGTCTGTTTGCCCTCTAGTGAGAGCTCAGAAATGGAGGACAGGACCATCTAGAGAGCATCTTAAGGGGCTCCGAGGTCAACTCACAGGCTCAGATCCCGCCACACAGATGCAGGCAGTGGGGCTCACAGAAGGCAGGAGAAAGCTCGGTTGTCAAGGGGAAATAGACAGCATTCCCACTCCATATTCCAGTGGTAGGAACTGGAGGGTGCAGGATGTGTGTGTGTGTGGGGGGGGGGGGTGTGATTTTGATGCCCTCTGGGTGTGGGATGCCCTCAGGACCCAGGAAGGGGCACAGGAGAAGCCCCCAGAAATCACAAGCCCCATGGGGTACAGAGTAACTTTCAAAAACTTGGCCAAGGCTCCACAAAGCATCTGTTTCCCACTTGGACTCCTGGGGTCCTGAGGGAGAGTTGCTGCTCCCTCACCTAGAGTCCTGAGGCAATTCCATGGTAGGTGTGTGGAAGACAGTATAATCCAGAGGCTCCTTCCTGTGCAGGCCACCCAAGCCCACTGCCAGACATTGGCGGGACCCCAGGCCCTCTCCCTGGCTTGTGTGGCCCAGGACCCACAAAAAGCTCAGTGATGGCCCCTCCTCCCTAAGATGAGAGCCCAGAATGACTGAGACTTCAGACACACCACTTCAGCCTCTGGAGGCTTCAGTTTCTCCAAACCCCAACTGTTCTTCCTGCACCCATGCACTGCCGGGAGTTTTGCTCCATTAGCACAAGGCCTGTCTGTCCTGCTTACACCTGTCACACGGCCTGTGCAGAGCACAGCTCAGAAAACATTTGTTAAACTGAGTGGAACCACGTAGAGCTCACTGGATGAGGACTCCAGGGGACAGGAGGGTCTCCTGCCACTGCCACTGGGGCCACAGGAAGGGAGGGCCTGTGGACAGCACAGGATACCTTACCCCACCAGGGGCATCCTCAGCCACACAGGGCATATGTCAGTAAGTGTGAAACAGAACGAGAAGTGAATGCTCTTCAGATAATGAGACTTCCTAGCATTTCTTTTGTTGGAGGTGGTAATACCCTGAATTCAGATCCTTGGGGAATAAGGGGACAAAAGTCGAGGTGGCTGGAACCGTGTTAGGTGAGTGTAAGAGTGTGCAAGTGGGAGAGGGAGACGGCTGATGGCGTGTGCTGGGTACTGGCAAGTGCATGCACATGTGTGTGTGTATGCATGGAGGGGTGAGTGTTTGGGGAAGAGCCTGAAGCTCCTCCCATCTCCAGAGAATCCGAAGTCCTAGGTAAAACAGCCAAGTCCAAGGACGCTGACAGGCCACGACCTAGCCTCAGTCAGACCCCTCCTATTCCCTTCTGAGCCCACACATCCAAATCTTCATCCTCTGCCTTGCCTGGGAGGGAACAGGGTATCCAGATCCCAAGGCATCAACCCCAAAGGCTGGGGAATGGGGTGGGGTGAGGAGAAGGTACTCACAGTTTCCTGCATGGGGTGGCTGAGGGGTTTCTCAAGGGCGGCCATGTTGTTGGGCATGTCCGGGGGATGGGAGAGTTGGGGGGGCCCGTGCATGAAGTCATTCATGGATGTCCCTCCAGGGTTCCCGTGGGGGAAGTCAAAGTTGCCATGGCCTTGGTAGTTGTTGCCTAGGAAGGGATGAGATGGGGAGGGGAGAGGGTCACCCAGAGGGATAGTGGCCACCCCAGGGAACAGAGTGTGCAAAAATACAAGCCAAGTCCTTTTCCTCTTGTGAGGCTGCAGTTGGCCACAGCAGCCTGAGGCTTCCGGGCTGTAGGATGGAGAAGCCACGCAGCCCTGTCCCGTGGTCTGTGGTACCCCAGGGGATGTGCTGCCCTTACAGTTATGGAGGAGGGGGCAGAGTGGGAGAAAGGGGGAGGGCCAGGCTCCTGTGGGGAGTGGGGGACACAGCCTGAGCCCACAGCAGACCCGCTGAGCTACTCCCCAATGTGGGCACTTTTCATACCCAGCAAGACCCAGGCCCAGAGTGGGTGCAGGTTCTGCCAAGCCCACAAAGAAAGCTGCAACAGACTCAGGATGACGCATGCAGAAGCCAGCTGTCCCGCCTCCCTGGTCACTGTGCCCTCCACCATGTGACGATGGCAAGGGTCAGAGGATCAGCAGGTTGGGAGGCTTGGCCCTTGGCACACTGTGGGAGTCTGGCTAGGTGGCCTAACTTCTCTGGGCCTCTCATGGGGACCTAAGATCAGGGATCCCAGCGGGAGCTGCCACCCAGTGGGGAGTACTTTCCAGGAATCAGTGGCGGTAGGGGTAAAACTTGGTCTGGGCAGCTGGGAGTATAAGGGCCAGTGTGTGACCTTGGTGGCTAAAGGCTAAGGCTCCAGGAACCTGGACTCTGTCCCTAGGAGGGCAGGAAAGTTGCAGGGAAAATGCAGATATCACGGAAAAAATATGGGAGGGCAGGGGGTAAGGCCAAGAACTCAGGTGAGTGTGTGTTGTCAGCAGACCCAGAGGAGATTGGCTGGGAAGAGGCAGCAGTCGTATCTCCCACCAGGGCAGGCTCTGAAGCCCCTGGGCTAGGCCCATGTACCCTTAAGTCTAGCAAACTGGGGATTGTTTATTGGGAGGCGTGTTACTTCTCTCTCTTCAACCACATCCCTGGCCCCTGCCACCATCAGCACAGAAATTCTGTGCCCCTGTAGGGACTTGGGGCTGCCCTCCTTCTCCCTTCTTCCCTGCCTGGCATCACCCACCTTGGCTGCTGTAGTCGTTGGAGTTGGTGCCCCCCGGGGGAGGCGGGAGGGGGTAGGGGGACGGGCCGGGGCCCAGGGCTGCGATCATCTCCATGACGTTGGGCATGATCATCTGGCTGGGACTCATGGTCTTGAACCGCTTGGAGGGGATGCCGTCAGGGTCATCCTTGATGTGTAAGTCCGACTTGATGGGCACTGGCCGCCAGCTGCACGTGGGATCGATGGTGACCTCTTCAAACTCGGAGCTGGGGGAGGAAGGGTGGCAGAGCTGAGGCTCTGGGGTGCCTGGCTTTGGGCATAAAAGCACCTTCAGCTCAGATAGACCCTAAGGTGACCTTGTTGAGGCGCCTGCCCCAACTCTGACCACACTGTGGACAAGGCACAAGCCTGGCAGGGATTTCTCCATATTTCTTTGACATATGGGGAGACTGAGGCTAGAAAAGCAAGTGGCTGGGCACAGGGCAGCTGGTCTCAAGGCCTCCCGCTTGGGGAGCAGCAGGTGGAGGGTCAGGGCGGGGCACTGTCAGCCTCCTGCTCTGGCTGGCTTTCATCCTTTCTGGGAAGTTAATTTGTCCCCAGATCCAGAGGCCCCTGAGGGTAAGCGACAGAGAGGTGGGGGATGTGGGTCACGGTCTGCTGGCCTGGGAGGGGAGGGCTGTGTCAGGGCTATCCATGTGTACACATTGCTCTATTCCAGGCCTTGTCCCCTCTCACCCCCCGCCCCTCGCTGGGGCCCCACTTACTGTTGGATGGCATTCAGGATTCCCCACATGTACTGATCCACCTCCAGGCCCTCCAGCAGAGCGGTTTTACTGGAAAAGGAGACGGGGAGCTTGGCCTCTGCTCCAGGACCCAAGGAGGTGGGGGCACAGCCCATCCACCTCAGTGTCAGTGCGGTCCCACCCCTGCTGCTGGTTACTACTGGAGGCACAAGAGAGGGGGACTCTGACCGCGTGACACCAAGGGACCACCTGGAGCCCCCATAACCTAAGCCCCTCTGCCATGTTTGGGTTCTGGTTTGCATTTAGGGCAGGTGGAGGTGGGAGGTAGCCAGCCCCTCCCCTCTGTGGTTGGGGGATGGGGGAAGCCCCCACCAGGGTGGGCATCACTCACTTGCACACAGGACACCTCCAGGTCCCTCTTTCACAATTCAGCTGCAGGTACGACTCCAGGTCAAAGCACTGCAGACAGACAGACAGACAGACAGAAACGGGTGAGACCAGGACTGTCAGAAACTGCCTCAATGTGCCTAAAGGACCCTTGGAATAACTTCCCCATCAGAAAGAAAGATAGGCTGTGGGAGAAACCCAGGGTTGGGGCTGGGTGGAGTGAAAGCAATGCCACCTTTCTACCACACAGAGTCCTTATGCCTCCACCCCAGCATCCCTCACACCACACCTCCCATACCCCAAATGACCCTGTGCCTACATCCTCTGAGAAGCCTTCCTGGTCCCCACCCCAGCTGACTCTCACTGTTTTTTGCCCTGTAACAGCCCCTTTCAATGAGGCCAGGGGTAGCCCCTTCAGCCCAGTCCAGGCACGGAAGACAAGTCTGATCAGGTTCATCGATCTGTATCACACAGCTAAGGTGATCAGACCATCCTCTTGCCCACAACATTTTTTGGAGGGAGGAGAGGAAGCTCCTGTCCCACTGCACTCTCAGGACCAGCTGTAGGTGACAGCCCTGGGCCCCTTCTGCATGCCCACCACACCCAGGTTCCAGAGGACGGCTCCTTGTTCTTCTTCCAGGCTGGGCTGCCCACGTTTACTCATTGCTCTGTCACTGCCTGCTCAGACTGGGACTGTCACTCACACCAGGGCCACTTCCTGAACACTGGCTTGATGCAAGGCCCTGGACAGAGGCATGAATTGGACAGTGGTGTCCCTGCTCTTGGGCCCCCAATCAGCCCTGCCATGTGTGTGGGACTTCCAACTGGCATCTGCCATCTGCCAGGGCAGGGGCTGTCCAAAACCATTTCTGTAGCCCCTTTGGCCTTAAGCACACGGAAAAGATGCTCAAAGATAAATGATGGCTGAAATTAATGAGTGATGTCAGCTGCTGATCTCCATGACATCCTTCTGGACAGTGTTTGGACAGGCCCTGTTGCCCCTCTGCCTACCCCTCACCATCCCAGCCAGAATCTAGGTGTCTTGCCAGAGCTGTGCTTTCTGGGGACGCTCACCTGGACATGCTTGCAATCGTGTCCTCGAGCAGGCAGCTGGATGCGCCGGAATGTGATGGGGCACTTCAGAGACACCTTGATGGCTGTCTGCTCCACCCCATCCTCCCCGTTGAGGGTCGTGTTGCCCGAGGAGGCAGCCACGCTGCTGAAATTCCGCTTGACTGCGGGGCAGGAGGCACAGACAGGTGAGGATGGCAAGGCCGTCCTACAGAGGTGGGGGGTCTGCACATGCTCCCCATTTCCTCGTGCAGCTGGGGCACGTCCTGGTCCTCCTCCCAGCCCACACCAAACACGGAGAGGGCCCACAGTGTGTCAGTCATAGGGCTGGGTGCCCGGGCTGCTGTCTCCATGTGGGACGCGTGTGGTGTGTGTGTGCCCGAGGAGGTGGCTGCGGCAGTTCCTCTATCTCTGCAAAGTAGGCCCTGCCTTCGCTAGGAAGGGGGATGTCTGCAAAGCTCATGGAAAGTCGGTCTGGCACTTCTCTGATTTACTGGGTCAGTTTCAGTGAAAAGCCCCCTCAGGCACTCCTGCACTTCACTCTGCACATGTGGAAATGGAAATGAACAGCTGCCTGCTGGAATCCCAGGGCTCAGGGCAGCAACGTGAAGAGTGGCCTTGTACCTCCTGCACAGGGCCTCTGAGTTCACACCCGGGGTGGTCTCCTTTAAATGGGACTCCAAGCCAAGTCCTTCCATCCCAACTTTTTTTTTTTTGTGGCAGTGTCTTGCTGTGTCACCCACATTGGAGTGCAGTGGCGTGATCATGGCTCACTGCAGCCTTGACCTCCCTGGCTCAAACAATTCTCCCACCTCAGCCTTCTGAGCAGCTGGGACCACAGGCACAAGCCACCACTCTTGGCTAATTTTTTATTTTTCTGTGGAGACAGGCTCTCACTATGTGGTCAGGCTAGTCTTGAATTCCTGGACTCCCTCCTCAGCCTCCCAAAGTGCCGGAATTATAGGCATGAGCTACTGTGCCCAGTCCTCTCCTGAGTTTAAGCATGAGCTGGCCAGATGTGGTGGCTCATGTCTGTAATTCCAGCACTTTGGGAGGCCGAGGCGGGCAGATCGCGAGGTCAGGAGATCGAGACCATCCTGGCTAACATGGCGAAACCCCGTCTCTACAAAAATACAAAAAAATTAGCCGGGCGTGGTAGCGGGTGCCTGTAGTCCCAACTACTCGGGAGGCTGAGGCAGGAGAACGGCGTGAGCCCGGGAGGTGGAGCTTGCAGTGAGCCGAGATCGTGCCACTGCACTCCAGCCTGGTCAACAGAGCAAGACTCCATCTCAAAAAAAAAAAAAAAAAAAAAAAAAAAAAAAAAAAAAAAAAGCATGAGCTGTTGAGGTAGAGAAGCCAATCTGGAATCCACCCTCTGTGTCTTCCACCTGATGAAGATCCCCTTTTCTGTAAATCCTCTCATCTTTTAAAGGCCTGGCCCAGGTCTTCACCTCCTCCAGGAAGCCTGCTTCCTGACATTTTTTTTTTTTTTTTTGAGACGGAGTCTCGCTCTGTCGCCCAGCCCAGGCTGGAGTGCAGTGGCGCGATCTCGGCTCACTGCAAGCTCCGCCTCCCGGGTTCACGCCATTCTCCTGCCTCAGCCTCCCAAGTAGCTGGGACTACAGGCGCCCACAACCGCGCCCGGCTAATTTTTTGTAATTTTTAGTAGAGACGGGGTTTCACCGTGGTCTCGATCTCCTGACCTTGTGATCCGCCCGCCTCGGCCTCCCAAAGTGCTGGGATTACAGGCGTGAGCCACCGCGCCCGGTGACATTTTGTTTTAATCTGCCTCATGTGCTGCTGTTGCAGGTATGCTTGTTCTGGCTCCCAAGCTGGACTACCAGCTCTTCCACACAGGTCCCAGAACTCCCACCAGCACTTATGGCCCCCAGCTTGTCTGGTCATGACAACAGCCCGAGGAGGAGGGCAGGAGCCTCAGGATGGGGCATGCTCAGGGACACTCCAGGCCTGGTGGCGACATGCATGGAGGCAAACGTCAGTCCCAGGTGAATGGTGACTGCTTCTTAGTCCCAAACTCAGGCGGGGCTGGGGTCTGGCCCTCACTCCTTGTCCCCACCCTGACTCACTTTTTGTGATACAGTGCTCTGCGGGCAGGAGGCGCTTCTTGAGGAGTCCTTGCAGCACAGAGCGGACGGAGGGCCGGTGCACCAGCTGCAGCACGAAGAGGTGTGACTGCGGGGAGAGAGCAGACACTTGGTTTCTGCACACTGTCATCATGCCCCGCCCTGCCTGCAGCCTCAGCAGCCCTAGACTGCTCCCGAGATCCCACAGCCGGCCTAGGAGACACTCCCCCAGCATGTGTCCTGGGACTTGTGAGCCTGAACACCACTCTGGAAAGGCCGCCTCTGCTGCAGATCGACAAGGTGGACTTTGACACTGAAATACCCTCTGGATAAGGTTATAGGACACATGGCTTTAGGGCTGGGTTCCACTTCACTTCCTAACCTCCCCTACCACTGCCTTCCCATCATGTGTCCTCAGCCCTTCCGGCCAGGGTGCTCATCCCTCGCTTCACCCTTCCAGGAAGCCTTCCAGAACGCACACCCCAAACGTCCACCCATCAGTTGCCTTACTCTGACAGTTGTGCAGCCTCACACAGTACATCACATTCCCCAGTCGGAATGGGATGTGCTGCCCAGGTCTGTGACCCCTGTCTCTGTGTGGGCTCTGTGCCCGTAAGCTCACAAGGGCAGGATCAGAGTGCTTCCTTCTCCATGCCCCTACAGAGAGGCCAGTGGAGTGGGGCACACATTTACTTCCACTGGGGCCGGAGCAAGCCCTGTGTGTTGGGCCCTGAGCTTCAGGGCACATGAGGGTGGCTGACAGCTGGTCCTAGGTAACAAGTCACGGGTTGGAAGGACCCCCATACATGACTCTAAGACAAGAGGGTTGGGAAAGAAGGGAACGCGTTAACTCCAGGTTTGGGGGAGTTGGGTCTGGGGAGAAAGGTGCTGACAATGACAACTACTGGTGAATGAGGCAAGCAGGACATGGCTTCGAGGAACACAGAACCGCACCAATGAATGAAGGGCAGGGAGGAGGGGCCAGGAGGGGTGAATCGGAGGCATACGTGGAGAACAGATGGAGGCCTAGTGTCCAGGGGAAGAGGCCACATCTGAAGCCAGGGCATAGTGGCTTTGAAGGCCCAACGGTTTGAAGGTTATTGCACAGGCCCTAGGTGGGGAGCAGGTAAGGGCACACTATATCTTTGGTGGCTGTGGGCACAGGGGCTGGTGACCCAAGGACAAGGCTGAGGACCAGAGTGGGGCAGGGTGTCCCGCACTCCCACACCGTGCAACAGGGACTGCCCGTGCCACCGCTGCCCCCAGCCCGCCACACTCACACAGCAGCAAGCCGTGACAGTGATCTGGATGGTGTTGCGACCCGGCTGGCACACGTGCTTCAGATGCAGGGGCTTGTGGGAGGTCTTGTTGTCGCCGCGCTCAATGGTGAGGGGCGTGGCGTTCACGCTGACCTGCACCGAGGCGGGCCAGTTGGTGTTCATCTGCCGGTCCTCGTGGTGGTAGCACTTGAACTGCAGCTCCAGGTCAGACCTAGGTGGGGTACGGGGGTGCTCAGGGCAGCTCTGCCAGGGGGCTGTCCACGGCCTCTGTGACCTCGAGCCAGGCCACACACCTCTGAACGCACCACAACCTCCGAGACCCTTAGGACCCCATCCCTGACCCCAACGGTTCCCCTAGCCTGAGTTCTCCTCTCCCATTCTGGATACTCCCTCTACAACCAAACTGCCCCCAAGATCCCCGCACACCCATCATTCCCGCCACACCCCACAGCTGCTCTAGCTCCCATCTCCCTGGACTGTCCTCCCTGTAGGGGTCAACTCTTGGCTCCCTAGGTCAGAGACAGAGGGGCAAAAGAACAGGCACTCATTTGACAAGACCTGCTGTGAGGCCAGCCAAGCCCGTCTCCAGACCTGCTGGGAACTGTCCTCTCAGGTCACGGCCATTTCTGGTTCTGAGCACTCCCCAAGGAGGCCCCCCAGGACGCAGCACTGAGGAGTGTCAGGAACCAGCAGTGACCACGTATGCGTGACAACCAAGCCAGGAGGAGGAGGTCTCCCAGGCCAGGACGCTCCCAGGTAAGAAGCGTGGGTGAGCAGGGTGCAGGCAGGCAGCACAGTGGTTTGTCCCGTGCCAGGAGCCTCTGCCCTCCTGCCTGAGTGTTGCAGCTCCTGTGTTCTGAACGCCCACACCAGCTATCTGTGGCCACCTCGCCCAGCCTGCTCAGCCTGGTCAAGAAAACAGCAGGGGTGTGTGTGCACATGCCAGGCACAGACCCAGCTCTTGCCCTGAAGATGCTCACTGGGCAATTGAGGGGGTCTGAGTCACAAGCACAGTGAGACAGTGTGGGTCTTGCCTGAGGATGAAGGACTGAAGGGTGGAGACCCCTAGGATTGGTTCTGGCATCCTGGAGACCTGGGCCCAAGTCCCAGCTCTGCCCCGGCTAGCTGTGAGAACTCACACAAGCCAATTCACTTCTCTGGCCTCAGCTTCCTCCTCTGTCAGAAGGGAAAGTGTTGCCCATTTCCAAGATCAAAGTAGGTCACACGTGGAAGGTGCTGAGCATGGGCCTGGCTCAGCAGGGAACCTCCGGACCTTGCGTTCCAGCATGTGCCGAAGTGTCTGAGCAGCAGCCCTGCCCAATGGTCAGCCCCTTGCAATTGGCGGGGCCTGCCTGACCCAGGCCTGGCCCCTGCACCAGCATCATCTCTGCATTCCTGGCTCTGGTCACCTGAGTCACACTCAAATTCTTGACTTCATTCCCTCTTGTCAGCTCACGGTCTCAGATGGGATACACAGCTTCCCAGCCTAGGTCTGAGCCAGCCACCTTTTCCTCTGGGGTGAGTGACAGCTGCTCCCTGCCCTTAGGCCATGATACCTTGACTGCTCATCTCCCGGTGCCCCTGCAGACTTCCCATGACAACCGCAGGACAGGGCCCAGTCAATGATGCCGAACACGTGAAGGTGACAGAAGATGCTGCCACCACCTGCCCAGGGCCACACTCGGGCCCAAGGAAGCCATCCCGGGGGACCTCCTTCATCCCGCCTGGGCTGGCGCCCCTGCCCTGACACGCACCTCCACATCAGCGTCTGGTGGACCGTGGGCCGCAGGTGGAACACATGGTTGCTGACAGCCAGGTTGTGCTCCAGGCGGAAGGGCTCCAGCACCACGCCATCCCGCACGGGGAATGTGAGCCGCAGCTCGTCATTGTGGTTGGCTGGGGCGAGGAGAGGAGGTGGGTGAGCCACAAGCCCCAGCTGCCATGGGTTCCTGGGCTGTGGGTGGGACTTGCTCACCCTGGGCTGCACGCTCAGAGGAAGGCAGGGGTGTGTAAACAGGGCCAGAGACATAGCCAGGCCAAGGGCATACCAGTGAGTCATGGCTTCTTCAATTCTACACGGCCCCACCCCAGCTACTCATCATCTCTTCTTCCACCCGCCTCCCTGCCTCCTTCCGTGGCTGGGTACAGATTTTCCTCCCAGCCTCCAGGCACCCAGGCAGCAGTGAGATGGGCTGTCTGTGGGCAGCGCACCCCTCCTTGAATGTGCCCCTGGGTATCGCACCTGCTCTCAAGTCTCTGTCCTTTCTGCATGCCCAATCCCCAGGCAGCCTGACTACTAAGCCCCCTGCTCCCAGCCCACTGGGGGGCCCAAATGGAGCCGCCCAACAGAGGGAGGTGGGACCCTCACCTGGGGGTGGCGGCAGAGCGCTCATATTTGGCTTGATGTCAGGCGGGAAGGGTGGTTTGACGTCTTGGCTGGGGGACAGGTATGGAGGGATGCTGCTCCCAGGGGTCATGGGGGGTGTGGGGTTCCCTGGAACAGGCGAGTGGGGGTAATTTGCCACAGGAACCGGCCTGGGAGGCTGGAGAGAAAGAGAAGACACACATAGGTTATGGGATCCCGGAGACAGAAGGGGCCATGGCTATGTACATACACTGCACTCACCCCAGGGGCCCGGGGCCATGCCCCTCGGGAGGAGAGCCTCCACCAGGGAAACCCTTCTCTCTCACAGATCTCTGTCCCGCTCAGAAGACAGCCTTGGGAAGGGCCTCCCCACCCTTCATCTGGGTCTCACCACTGAGCTCCTGTGTCAGGTGCATGTGGAGACCCTTACCCATCCATGTGACAAATGGGGACACAGAGGCTCAGGGTCGGGGGCTTGCTCAGAACAACCTTGGAGGACAGGACAGCAGGAATAAAGTCCAGGCCTCCTGTCACCCGACCAGGTGGGCTTCAAACATCACGACTCAAGGCCACACCCTCTATGCCTACCCATCAGGGTCCCCAGATGGAGTCGGGGCCTGCAGAATCTGGGGCCCAGGTTCCCCAGGAGCCCCTCTCCCTCTTCTTGTTTTCAAGACCAGCCAGGCTGACACTTTACCCTGGGGCCCACCCCACCTGGAGCTGTGGATTCTCAGTCCTGAGCATCTCTGTCCCCAGCACAGGGGACCAGTGAGTGCACCCGCACCCATGGGCCCCTCTGAATGTCCAGAGAGGCTGGAGCAGGAACAGTGAGAGCCTTTAGAGGTAACAACTGCCTGTGGCTTAGAATTTGTAAATTAAATCGGAACATACCCTGTTGACGTTCCCTTGGCTGTAGTTACTGTAGCTGCTTCCCGAGAACGTGTTGTTTTGTCCATTAAACTGCTCTGGCTGTTAAAACAAGATAAACAACGCTGAGTAGGGGGCAGAAAAGCCATCAGAAGCCCGCTCTCCCTCCGGACAGTAAAATCTGCCAGGAGCACAGGGATGCTACAGGGGCCCATCCACTGCTGGGCTGCGGAGGGAGCGGGGCGGGACAGCTACACCTCGGCGACAGCATTTTGCCTCTCTCTGTCCCTAGTTATTAATTTAGCAGAAGTTACAAAAAGAGCAACACCTAATATGCTGAAATTGGAGCAAAATGGTAAACCTGTTCAGTGGATGACCATAATAAATTAGCATGATTTTTGGCAAATAAATGTAAAACAGTAAAGTGTCTTCTTTACTCCCAAGAACATATTTTATAATAATCCTAAGGAACGGAAAGGCTATATGCCTAAAGATCCTCATCACAGTATTATTTCTAAAGTGAAACATCAGAAGCAACCCCAATACCTAACAGAGGGAATAATAAAATATGATATGGTGATCTCAGCAGAATATTAGGCAGCCATTAAAAGTAAAAACCCCAGGGGCTCTGGCAGCAGTAAGTAACATTCTTATTATTTCATGTGAAGTCAAAGGTACAGATTCAAAGGTACAGCTGTAATAACAATTTTATAACATGTTAGTGCCCACCTGCACACAGAGAGACAAAGTTTAGAATGAAATGTGAATATATACAGGGCGTGTGCTTTTTTTTTTAAATAAAATATATTTCCTTTATTATTTTGTGAGTGCCAGGAATAAGAAAAGGAGAAAAAAAAAAACCCATCATCTGAGACCAATGAGAATAGGAACTGAGAAAAGCCACTCTGACATTCTGGCCACCGAACTTCGCCCTGAACACATGGGGACGTTCAGAAATCACCCACGCCTTGCTGTCCTTGGGGCTCACACACGCAGGGTCAGAGTGATCCCGGTGGAGTTAGGGGTCTGAGGTGGTTAGTAGTGAAGGGGCCCCGTGGGTGGTGGCGAGGCTGGGACTGACCTTGTAATACTGCCCCATGTTGACCGTCGGGGGCGGGTACTGCCCGGAGCTCGGCTGGCTGGGCATCCTCTGTCCCGGGTAGTTGGGGGAGGTGAGTGGCCTCGGGGGGTTGGGGGTTGGGTACTGGCCTGGCTGGGTGGGGAACTGGCTGTTTGGTCCATATTGCTGGTTTCCATAGTTGGGCTGTGGTGGGAGAGAAAGGAGAGGGGAAACACGTTCAATGTTGCCAATGTCACATAGCCAGGTCACCTGAATACCGGGACGGGGCCCACCTCTTCTCATTTGCTCCTGCTGTTTCCCACCCACAAAACCAGATGATGCTTGAGCCCGTTCTCGTCCTGACATCCAGGAGCATTTTGTTCTGCCTGTCCAGCTCACAGGCCACCTTCCCTTGAGGCCGTTCTTCCTGGAGCACATGCGCCCCCTCAACTCCAGGGACACTTTCAGAGCCTCTTGCTCACACCATTATGAGGGGCCTGATTCTAACTCCCCTGACCTTTGCGTCTCTCCTGGCGCCTGGGTTAGGGCTGTGCTCCCCAATGGGTACCCCAATGTGACAGGAGAATACAGTCAATAGGATGAACTTCCAGAAAGGAACCCCCTGTGCCCCTGCATTCTGAGGATGAACCTGGGTGCCATTGTCCTCGTACTCCCCTTGGAGCAGAACACACACCTAGCGTTCAGTTCTGGACCATCGACAACCTGCCACCTGTGCAGGAGGCGGGAGAGCCAGGCTGGTGAAGGAACGAGACAACTTCTCCCAGGAGAGGCAATTTAGAGAAGAGAGAGCACCACTCTCTAGCCACCTTCCCTGTCTGGAAAATCAGGTGACCCTCAGGGCCACATGACATCCTGTGAGTCAGTGGTTTCTTCTTCCCCATCTGAGTGGCTCTCTTGCCCAGAGGTCCTGCTGGTGGCTGTGCCCCAGTGCCTGACAAAATGCCCACAATGCTTACTCAACAAATGAATGATGGACTTGGGGATAAATGTCAGAGTGTCAGTGTGGAAGAATCTGCAACTCATGTTGTAACACGGTGGCTGCTCTGGGTGACAGTAAGGCACCGACCACAGGAGGTGCAGAAGACGTAGCTGGTGCCTACCTGCCGCCTACCTGCCCACCAAGCTAGAGAAGAGAGTCCTCTGTGGGACCAGATGACCCAACCCCTGTTCTAAGGTTCCAACAATTCAAATACTGTGTGAGCAAGCCATGGCAAGGGGAAGGCAGGCCAGTCTTCCCAGACAGGATCGGGCCACACAGGCTGTGACCACCCAGTGCTGGAGCTGGGTAGCAGCAGCATTCTATGAAAAGGATGATTAATTTAGTAAAAACACGGAGAGCCTTTGGTGTGCTCTCTTTAGGCAGGCAAAAGCCATGAGCATGACACTGGTGCAGGTGCAGGGGTGACACCAATGACCAGGAATTCCGCTGAAGCCTTGTCCGAGATTGCCTGCTTTGCTGTCGGCTAACAGATGCATCCCCAGCACAGCCAGTGGGACACTGGGATTTTGGGCACAGGGTGGCTGAGAAAAGGCCTAGAAACCGCATGGGGGCTGTGTGCCAGGAGAGGTGCCAATAGCTTGAGGCTCCCCCAAACTCAGGACCCAGGAGCCAATGGTCTTTCTCTGGCCAGCATCGTTTTCTGAGGGTTCACTTGTGACACCCTCTCCAGGAAGCCTGCCTTCTCTGACTCACATTGAGTTCTGTGCAGTCTGCTACGCTTCATTCCCTGGTGAGTCTCGGCTCAAAACTTCTTTCCTGCTAAAATCTCACTTCCCAGAGGGCAGGAGGTATGGATTTTACTTCCCTAAATCTTCCCCAACACCTTGGCTGAGCTGGCTGTGCAGCCCAAGAGGCAGTGTCACTTCCTATACAGTGACCAAGTGTGGATGGAAACAAAAGCTAAGAAACACGCTGCCTGCCTTCCAGTCACTTCCCCGACGGGTCAGTCCTTATAGACTGGAAACAGCTGCCTGCCTTCCAGTCACTTCCCCGACGGGTCAGTCCTTATAGACTGGAAACAGCTGCCTGCCTCCTAGTCACCTCCCCGACGGGTCAGTCCTTACAGACTGGAAACAGCTGCCTGCCTTCCAGCCACTTCCCTGATGGGTCAGCCCTTATAGACTGGAAGCATTTTGTCTCAGCTCTCTTTCTTGGAGAGGAGTTGGGGAAGTCCTCATGTGGGCAGGACGAACTAAACCCAAGTCACCCAGTTAGTGTCTGAGCCAAGACAAGAGTCACTACAGTAAGAGGAACTGCTGCTTGCTGAGTGGCGGCATAGGCCAGCCCAGGGCCAAGCACTTCATGGACATCTCCTCAAGTCCCTCAAGCAGCCCTAGGAGGCAGGGTGACTGGCTTGAGGTCTGCCAGTTGGGAAACAGTAGAACCAGGTCTCAAACCCAGAAGCACCTGACCGCTAAGCCCCTGCCTCTTTGTCCGAGTGTGCTCGAGTCCAAGACACACCCCTTCCAAGGCCATACCCACAGCCCACATCTTCAAGCCCAGGTGTCCCAGCTCCCACTTCCCGGCCTCCCACTGCTGCACTCACCTCTCCAGGGTATGGCCTCTTTATGTTCTGAATAGGAAGGGACTGGGGCCGGGGGCCCGGGTAGGTCTGCTGGGGCATCCGCTGCCCGTGCGTGCCAAAGGGGCTGATGCCGGGCGGCCGGGGCTGGTTCATGCCCATGGGAGGGCCGCTCATCCCCGAGGGCGTCATGCCAGCCGCCATGCTTGCGGGGTTCATGCTGCCCCCCATGGAGGCAGGCCCCCGTGGCCCGGGCTGGTTCATGAATTGGCTGTTATACGCCTGGGTGGGACCCATCTGGAAAGAGGAACAGACCTTCAACGGGAGAAGAAAAAAAAAAAAAGAATAAAATGCCACATGCATTGAAAGTGCAGGGAGGGAAGGGTTGGGGAGGTGGAGGGGTGGGGAGGGGGCACCGACCGTCCTGTGCGGCAGTGACCGGTGACCAACCAGGCCCCAGGGGAGCAGGATCCACCCAGGCTCACTGCTGCCCTCTGCAGCCGCACAGGAGAGATGCAGCTCTGGGGTGTTAGGGGGTGGGGTGGGGTGGGGTGGGGCGGTCACTCCAATGCACAGGCAGCATTTCCAGGGAGGGAGGCAGGCAGAAAACCAGGAAAGGGTGCAGGGACAGGGAGGGGCATGGGAGGGTGGAGGTAGATGAGGGTGGAGGCAGGAGCCCAAGTGAGACTGCAGCCCCTTTCCTGGAAGCCCTGGCCCTGCCCTTGGCCCTGGGCCAATGAAGGCACACCCTCCATCCACAAAGTCGGCCTCAGCCCAGCTTCCACTTCTGCCCCCACTGCCCTGCAGTCTCCACATCCTCGCCTCCTGTTCTGCATTCCTATGGGGGCTCCTCCTCTCCTCATCCCCCAACCCACCCTTCGGAAGGTCAGGGAGCAGCACTGGGGCCTGCGCAGACCCATGGATAGGGTGACTAGGAGGGCACTGGTCTCAGAGGCAATCCAGGAGACAGATCGGTCACAAGACTGTTTTTAGACATCGAGCCCACTCTTTGGTGAGTAGGGGGCCCAGAGAGCAATGTGGAACCTTTTCTCCATATGCAGTAGTACACGAGCCACCAACACACAAACACCAGCACCCAGATACCCCACCACACCCAAGCACACGGACACGCCCCATTCTAAACACAGACCTCCACATGCTTCCATGGAAGCCCAAATCCACCCTAATGCAGTCAGCTCCCCCAGCACACACGGCCCCATAAGCACTGACACTCCAACACTGCTTTCCCAGGGCTGTCTGCTTGGCTGGCTGGGCGAGATTAGAGGAACCCTTACCGGTCCATACTGGTTTATATCCTTGTTCTGTGTCTCCTGCAGGGCTGCCACAGTGGCTGTGGCTGTGGCCGTAGCTGTGGCTGCTGCTGCTGCCACTGCCGCTGCTGCAGCGGCTGCCGCGGGCTGAGTGAAGTCAGCAGGCGGCCTGGTGTGCGGAGGGATGCCCATGCCTGCGGGGGCATTAGGACCCCCAGGGTAACTGCAGGGAGAGAAGGGTGGAAGACTTAGGTACTGCCTGCATCTGAGGGGAACCAAGAGCAAGCTGTTGGCTGGGAGGGAGAGGATGGAGCTGCACCCAGAACCTAGAGGGCCTCTTGGGATTGGCAGCCATTCATTTGTGCCACTTGGCAATGACCACACTGCTGTGCTCCTGGAGCCCTCAGGGGTGCCTGCACCCTCACTGCATGCTGTCGGGCCCCGGTGAGCCCATCTTCTGAAGGACACTGAGTCTCAGAGAACCTGAGCAACTTGCCCAAGGCCCTCCAGCATTGATGGCAGAGCTGTGGCTGTGGCTACAGGTGTTTCTGATCCCTGTGCTTAACCACCAGGTCATACTACTGTGCCAACCCCAGGTCAGAAACCCAGCCAGGGCTGGCAAGGGTTGAGGCCAAGGTGGGGGTATTAGGCAGGGCGGGGCAGAAAGAGGAGAATGGGCGCCTCTGCTCGCCTCACACCCTTCCCCAGAGCTCCAAATCCTGCGAGTCCTTGCCCCTTTCTCCTGAGCCAAGGGACTCGCAGTCTGCATAATTCTGCTTTCACCAATCAGCAAGGCAGAGCAGATTTTCCCAGACCGTTTCACTGTCTTTGGGCAACTGGACCCCATCTATACCTGCTCTTCAACTTTCCCAATCCAGATTTTCTCAATACCTTCCTATTTATTAAAGACACAATTCAGAGAAGGGTCGTTTTGAGGTTTTGAGGAATAAGAATGTCACCCTTCTATTTCCACAAGCCTGATGACTGTCAGAACATAGCCCAGCTGCTGCAGCGCCTTATCTGTGGGCCAGGCCTGCGAGCCAGGGGTGACTGAGCCCCTTCAACTCTTGGGACAACAGAGGATAACTTCTCAGGGCAGAAAGCGTGGAGCTGGGATTTAAGTGGGACCCTCCCCGTTGAAACGAGGGAGAGGGGCGGGGTCCATGGCTTCTGCCACAGGTCAACCCTGCTCACCTGGCCCCAAAGCCCCCACTGCCGGGGTAGTTGGGCCGGCCATACATGCTCTGCTGGATGTAGGGCTGAGCGGGGCCAGCCTTGGCTGAGAACTGCTGCTGCTGCCCCGCAAACTGCGGGGAGTTGAGGCCGGGGTTGCTGGTGGTCATGCCCGACGCCATGGGGTTGCCGCCTGGATTCATGGGGTTGTTGGCATTGGCCATAGGGTTCCCAAGGACCTGTGGGCAGAGAAAGTGGTTGTCACCTAAGGTGCTACCCCAGGTAGTGTGGAGAGGAAGGGGGATAAATGAAGAGGGGAAAGGGAGAAAGAACAAAGTGGAGGCAGGACAACAGGGAGGAGGAGAAAAATGGAGGGTGGATGAACTACTCCGAGTGTACTGGTGATAACAGTGGGCCTGGGCGGCAGGTGGCGCGGGGGATGAGAAGGTCAGCCTTGTGATAGAACAAGCTGAGGGCATGACCAAGCCCCACAAAGCCAGCTCAAGTGGTCCCCAGGGGCTGGGCAGCCCCGTGAAGGGAGGAGAGGCTGCTCCTGCGCCAGAGGCCAGTGGGGAGAGCCCCGGCCATGCAGCCTACTGCCCCACAAACGAGCCTGGATGTCAGTGTCTCGTCACACAGGGGCCCCGAGGCCCCTGGCTGCTGCTCTGTGAGGGCCAAGAGGAATCCATTCTGCTAGCTCTGGAGGGCAGCAGGAGCAGGCAACAACAACAGGTCAGGCCAGTGGCTCCCTCCAGGGTGACAAGCAGCCCTGAGCCTTCCATGTAGCCACAGCTAAGTCTAGCAGAGGTCAGGCAGGTGGGAGACCCCCTGACTGGGCAGAGGAGGAGTGGAAGAAAGGAAGGAATGAGAGGGAGGCGGGTTTGACTAGGGCAATGGGGGGTAGGGAGTTGTCAGAAGTCCAAGGCACAATATTTTGATGAAATCTAACTCAGGCCACACTATCAGGGTCAGAGACCTCAGACCTTGGAGCCCTGAGGCCAATAACACAGAAGTTCTCCTGTTTACCAGAGCAAATGGGCTAGGGAAGAACCCCTTGCTGTCCGTATGATGAATGCCATTCCCCCAGAAAGGCCTTAGGATGGGGACAGTCCATAGAGGCTGCCCTCCTGAGGTGGGTACAGAGCCTGCCAGGGGTGGAGACGTGTCCACAGCTGGGTGTGCCCTGGAAGCCGGTCTTCCCAGCAGGGCAGGGCCTGGGAGGGCGAAGAGGGTTGGTATGGCTCCGGGGGTCAAGGGACGCTCCCACCTAGAAGGAGCTGTGGCTGAGGGCAGTACAGGCTCTTACCTGGCTCTGGGATGTGTTGGTCACTCCCCAAACCGTGGTGACCACGGAGAGGGAGCCGGGAGGCTGGTTGGTGTTCTGCTGCCAAGGGACAGAGTCATAGGGGAACGACCCATCACTGCAGAGGGAGACAGAGGGAGATCCTCAGGGCCTGGCAGGCACAGACTCAAGACAGGCCATGCCCATCACCCCAACAAGTGACCGCAGCTCCCAGCCAGTGCTAGGTAACCCCCATCTGAGTCAATACTGGACCCCCAGGCCCGTCTCAGTGCCCAGTGCACAACAATATGCCCTGCATGGTGACAGGCTGTTCAGAAGTGGCCACCATTCCCCGGATCACTGCAGAGAGCTACTTCCATGGCTGTGGGTCTCCCCGTAGCCCTGAGTCCACAGGTCATGCAACCGATGAAGTGGTGTGACCTGAGGCCCAATCTGAGCTCCTCCTTCACCGGGGCTCTGACTCCATGTGGCCCTTTAGGAAGAGCCTGGGCTCTCCAAAACCACCTTACCCTTGGAACTGCTTGGTCCCTCTCAGTGCAGGCTGGAAGGGTCCGAGTCTGAGGGTGTCAGCCCTTCCCTCTGCCTCCCAGCCCTTCACAACAGCCTGGCTGCCTGGGTCATGGGAATGCAGGCTTTCTTCCAGCACCCTTCCTTCCCAACCCCCAGCAACATGGGTACAGGCCTACCTGCTGCACACCCTCTCCTGCCCACGCCCTGATCTCTCGTGTACATCCCTCCCGAGCTAATCTCCCTCAAACACCTAAGATGCCCGGCACAATTAAAGACCTTTGGTGGCCTCTGGCGTTTATAAGGCAGAGTCCAAACTCACACTTAAGAATGACATACTCCTCTGGCAGACCCCACCATTGCCTCACCCTGCTTTGGCTCTGTCCTCTCGTGGAGCCGCCCCTTCCCCTAAACACTGCCTCCTCTTTACCAACCAGGACTATATTTCCCCTGCTCCCCTCACCAGGTCCAGCAGTACCCACATTTGTGGACATCTCCCCAAGGAGCTCTCAGACATCAGAAGCAAGGAGTTAGCCTTCAGCCCTACCTCTTGTGCTCAGGCCTACAGTGAGTGTCCAGTGATGCTTCCTACCAAGCACTTGGGTGCACAAGAGTGAGGTCAGCAGATCCCAGCGAAGGGCAGGGCATGAAGACCTGCCAGGGTGCCAGCCCCCAGGAGTCTGGGGATGAAGCTGCCTCTCCCACGAGAGCCGGCACTGGCTCTCTGGCACCACCCTCTCACCAAGTCACAAAATTCTAGATGTGGAACCAGGAGGAGCAGAAAAGCAAAGTGCCCACAGCTGTGACACTGCCTCTACCCAGGGCACACAGGGTGTGTGTGTGTGTGTGTGTGTGTGTGTGTGTGTGTATGTGTGTTAGGGGAAGGAAAGTGGGAGAAGGGATGGGCAATAGGAAGCAGCCTCATGCCTCTGTCTGGCTTGTGTCTGTCTTAGTCACAGGAGACAGCAGACGGCAAAGGTTCTCAGTCACACCTGGGAGACTTGTACCCTAGCTGAGCGGCCAGTCCAACCCTAGCAGCCAGGGCAACTGGGGATGGAGGTGTTGGGGAGGCACCTCTGGGGATGCAAGGAGCCCATCCCAGAGGTAAGGACTTCCCAGAGGGAGGCAGAGGGCTGCATGACCTGCAGGCAGTAGAGATCAGGGCAACCAAGTCTCGTGCTCTGCGCCTTGCCCAGCTGAGCTCTTGGCAATGCTGGTCAAGTCAGATGGGCTCCTGCAGAGGTGACCAGCCTGGAGGGCAGGACCACGCCACTGTCTGCTCATACTTGCCCCTCCCCCTGCCTGGATATCCTCTCCCCTAGATCTCTCAGCCTGGCCAGCCCCTCGCTTTCTTCCTGTCTGAGATCGCTGGAGGAGCCTCCCCTGCCCTCCTGGTATAAAAGAGCAACTCCTACCCGACACTGCCTGCTCCCTCACCCTGGTACTGGAATTTCTGTCATGGCACTCCACCACTGTCCTAATTATATATTTATTTGATTACTGTCTATCTGCCTCTAGAACAGCTCTGTGACGGCATAGACTTTTGGGCTTAGGACCCTGGTGCAAGTTTCTGCACTCAATCTCCTCATCTGTAAAATGGGCATCAGATGACACCTCCACTCTACTCTGTGTTTTCCAACTGTGGGTCACGGAATCTAAGCAGGTGATGACATCCAACCAACAGGGGAGAAAAAAGAATCAACTAGAAAGTGACTGAGAGCACACAATAAAGATGAATATTAGTCCTTGAGCTTCCGTCTTGGTTTTATACACAAATACATGTGCACCTTGGATCAAGGTGTCGTATGTGTATTTATCGTGGATCTTGGTCAAATAAGCTTGAACACAGGTTTGGCAGCCTAAGTCTGATGTGGCTCAAAGAGGAGAATGCAGTCAGAGGGCTTGCCCAACTGAGCGCTGCTCGTGATTTCTGAGGAAACTGCAGGACTCGCATTTGGAGTAGAGGCGCTCAATTGGCCAGGCACGATGAGGAGTGGTGGCTCATTGGAGATCCAGATGCCAAAGGTGACAGACGGTGACAGACTCTGCTCTCCAGGTGGCGGATTGGAGACTGGGAGCCCAGAGGGAGTGAGCAGGGCAGAGAAACACAGGAAAGCAGCAGTGAACCTGCTCCTCAGGGTGGCTGGGCTGGAACAGCCTCTGTCTCCCAGGAAGGTCACTGGGGACCCGGAGCACCACCTGGTTCCAGAACTGGCACACCAGAATCTCACAGGGAGGATCTACAGGTTATGCTTGTACAAAACGAAGAGGAGATCCCCTGGGCACCTGCTGCTCTCAAGGCCCATGTCCTAGGTGTGCTGGATGACCAGAGGGTCCCCCACAACTGAACAAAACCCAAGCCTGAGTGGCTTCTCTCCCCAGAACTTGTGCTCCACAAGTCCCCACCAACCCTCCAGGCTGATGGCCTTCAGACCCAGGTTGCTGTCCTTTGAGAACATGCCTGGCCAGGCTCAGGAAGTGAACCCCTGTGGGAACCCCCAGGGGCCGGCAGGGCCCTGCCTGAGGCCAGGGAGTGGGCAACCGCTGCCTTACCACCTCAGCCCGGGACACTACACAGGCCCATGAACAAGCTCCCAACTGCCCTGCAGCTCCGTGGGTGAGCCTTGTGGGCGGAAACCAGCTCCTTCCTGTTTCGTCCCCTCTGCCCCAAACTTGGTGAGAAGCAAAGCTAACCAACGTTCCCAAACTGGGCATCCCACTGCCTGTCTGGAAGGTTTGCTGCCCCAGAGCAAAGATGCACACAGGCGTATGGAGGACACGTCCGTGCATACACGCGAGGCCCTGCTGGCATGCTGCCCATGCACTGGGGAAGAGACAGGCACAGCGTGTGGGGCGGTCTCAGGACTAGCTTGCCTCCACACACACCTGCTGCAGAAGCAGAAGTGGCAGCCGCACCGATGGGACTGTGACTCATCTCATTCTGGGGGAGACGGGCTCCTGCTGTCGCAGAGAAGGCTCTCGCCCCCGCAGGCCCCCCAGCAGCCCTGCTGATGTGACGCCACTGCCTGGACTCAAGACACCACCACTGGGGGAATGCCTGGTCCTTGTGCCCAAGGATGAAGGACCAACCCGACCCCTGGGCTGCTATCAGAAAGGCAGGGCCTGGCTGGGATGCGAGGAGGGTCTGGAGGGTGCCTGAGAGCCCTTCTTCTCTCCAACGAGCAGTTTAACCTGCAGACATGCTTGGCCTGGTCACAGGTGCTTGGCATTTTTTAATAATTCTGCCCCACTCTGTACAACCCTAATCCAGCATGGCCTGCCCGGTATCCCACCACAAGCTGCTCCCAGCCACAGTCCTGTCGAGCCAAAACTGCCCCAACAATCCTGCTTCACCCACAGAAGCACCAAGGCCAGAAGCCACCTGCAATGTCAGCAGCAACGGTTCAGCGTGCCAAGTGCTCCCTAATACTGGGGCCTCTGTGCCTCTTTCTCAGGCTGGCAAGTTCCATCCCACCTTGAAAATGCCATTCATCCTTTCCAGGCTCTTCCAAAGGCCACCTCCTCCGGGAAGCCCTTGCACAAGGTACTGAACTCCACTGGCTCTTCGCATTCCTGGCAGGAGTGAGAACCCTCTGCCTTCTCCCTTCTGCCTCAGGAGCTGTCACTGATTTCTTGGGCTCCCTGGGCCCAGCATGATGTCTTCACACACCAATAGGGCTCAGGAAGCCTTTGCTAAACAAAAAAATGTGCCAGGGAGAAACCACCTCTCTGCATTCACCCTTGGAGGGATGCTGAAAATGAATATGTCCATTTCATTAAGCCTGACCACTGACCACCTTCACAGTGTGCCTGTGGCCACATGGCCACTGAGGCCCAGGAAGTGAGAGAAGCACACAGAGGGAAGCGATGAACCCACTGCTCACTCTCTGTATGCCTCAGCAACCTCATCTGTGAAATGGGGCTGATTCAGCCCCTCCCTTCGAAGGCTGCCATGAGGGTTAAGTGTAAGTGCCTAACACGTATGAGGCCCAGAGTCCTGCACACCTTGGACACCCTGAAACTGCTGGCTGCCGCTGTTACTGTTGTTCTGATTTACTGAGTGACTTCTAGATGCAAGGAATTTTGTGAAGTGGGCTTCACCTAAGAACTCATCCAGTGCCCCATTAAGTGGGCCCAACAGGTGCCCATCTTAGAAGCTGGAGCTCACAGAGGTAGCAGAGCCCGTCAAGGGTGAGGCCGCCGGGTCAGCAGACCATATCAGGCTCATCACCGTCTTAAGAACTTAGGATCCAGCAAGGCAGCGCTCCCTGTCCAGAGATGGCCATGAGGCAAGGGAGCACACGGTAGAGGCCACCTAGAAGCCACAAGAATTCCAAGGGCTGCATCTTCCTGGGGGTTCTTGGGGAAGTCGCCTAGCATGAAGGGACAGGGGAGATGTAAAGAAGGGCCTCAAAGGCCAGCTGCAGAGAAAATCCAAATAGTCTTCCAGCAAAGAACTTCTTTATACACTAAATCATCTGCTTTAGCTTGGACTGGCCACGTTGGCAAAGATTCAGGGACCCCTTTTTGAGGTTAATATTCAACCGACAGAGGGAAGCCCAGCAAAAGAGAGGTTCCCTTTGTGGGCTCTGGAGTTAAGAGTCTTTGGGG